CAACTTGTAAGGTAGTGAGCTCCCTGTCCCTGAAGGAATGTAAGGATATGGAGGAAGGGAGTCCTCACTGAGTGAAGGGCTGTGGTTCCCACTGTGGTGGGGCATCAGGATCCCTGGAGGAGTTTGTTGATAATGCCTACCGAGCGGGACTCCTTGGGGGGGTGGGTAGGAGTCTCTGAGCTGCATGGCCCCAAGTTGGCCCTCCAGTTCTGTGAGCCTGTGGTGCTGACCTCAGAAGCCTGGGGGCACATACATCCCAGCTTCCCCTATCCTAAATGCCTCATTCCATTTAGGTTTCCAGCACTTTTCAATCACTGATGTAGTGACGATAGATGAAGGTCACGCAACCACCTCAGGAGACCATGACTGTGAAGCTGAATCAATTGCCTTGGCAGCTGCCACAGACCCTGGACAAATGTCTTCCCTGGAGGCCACCAAGAAACGATGTCAGGCATCATGCTTTTTGGGATTATATGCTGAAAGTGTTTTGGTATCTTTTGAGGGAAACGAACCAGAAGGCCTTCAACAAGACACTCCGCTCTGTGTGCTAGTCCAGTTCAAACTCAGCCCCCAACTGGGGGGAGCCTGGTGCAGTAGGAAGGGTGCGGCCACAGCAAGCCTGCAGCCCTGATCAGACTCCCCGCTCCTCCTCACTTGCTGAGTGATGTTGAGCTAGTCCCTTACCTTCTCTGGGCTTCTCATTTGTAAAGTGAGGGAGTTGAACTTTCGAGTTCCTGAGCTGACATGTTACAGTACCTCGAAAGACCGGAAGCTGGGATATTTGCCTAGTTTCCGGCATCAAACCTTGTTCCAACCTGGTTTGTTGCTGTGGAGTCTCCCCTCCTTCTCACTTCCCTGCCCGCTCCTACTTTATTCCCCAGCATCTGCTGGAAGTGTGGCTGGCTTGGCCCAAGGGGCAGGAAGGCCCTGCAGCAATGGAGCAAGGACAGTTGGTGGGGGGGGGGGGGGGAAGGAGTGAGCGTGTGGATGTACACAGGCACTGGGATGGGCTCCGAGGTGAGGAACCTCCTACTCAGAGGTAGGCCTTGGACCAGTGGGGAGATTCAGGGTTAATTGTTGCAAAAATTCCCAAGGAGTCTGAGGCCTCCCAAGAGAACTGGTGGCAAGTGTCAATGCGCATGACACTTCTGAAGACAGACCCGGCTTACTTAGCCCTGAGGGTGAGCGAGGAGACATTGATGCCACCCAGAGGGAAAGCCTAGGGCCAGGCATTGCATTTGCACCGTGTCCAACTCTCATGAAACCCACACAAGAGGCTGTCATTTGCCCCGGTGTACAGATGACAACAGCAAGGCCCAGGTTAAACAACGTGCTCACAGCCACACGGCTGGCGAGAGGCAGAACAGGATTTGAACTCGGGTCTGGCTGATTCTAAAGTGCACAGGGCTCCCTCTACATCAGGCACCTCCTCGTCAGGAGTGTCATCCTCCTGGAGCGTGATGGCACCAACGCCCAAGTTTCTGCATCTCTCTCCCAGGCCAGGGGTATGTGCACATAAGTGAAGTGTATGAGGCAAATGTGATTTTAGATAAAATTGCACTGGAGAAATTCGAAATATGCTAGAAATTTGAAAATTATGAAGTCTGTAGGATTTTAATCTGAGGCCTACCTGGTTGCCAAACTGATCATTGTGGAAATGGAGGCGAATAAGTGCTGGCCCCTGGCCCGGGAGGCCAGCCGCCGCATTGTTGCAGTGCATCTCTTTCCAGGGAGGAGACACGAGCCACTAGGCTGGAGGCAGTCAGTGATGGGGGAGGGCCTCCAGAGAGGCAGAGCTCTAGCTGTCTCTCAAAGGATGGGCTGGAATGTACGTGGCAGTTAGTGGCGGGAGAAGAGAGTTCTAGGTGGCTGGAACAGCATATGAAGGCAACTCAGAGGCGTGGAAGGACATTTGGTGTTGGGGAAACGCGGTTAGCTCTCTGGGGCTGGAGGATGGGGCAGGTGAGAAGTCGGGGTGTGAGAGACAGGGCCAGACAGGTGAGTGGGGCCAGCTTGGGGGGGGTGTGTCTGTGTGACTTTCTGACGTTGGCTGAGCCTCAGTTTCCTCAGCTGTAAAATGGAGAAAAGAAGGTCCTCTCTCTGTGATGAGATTTAAACCAGATCATGAAAATGAAATGGGTGGCCCTGGGCCTGGCGCAGGTTCAATAACCAACTGTTGCTATTGTAGTTGCTGCTGCTACTGATGGTAATAATAACTGGGCTTCCTAGTTCCCCTTTGGTCTATTCTTAACACAGTGGCAAGAGTGATCCTGTTAAAACAAGTGGCAGATCATGTCCAATCTCTGCTCGCAAGCCTCAGTGTTCCCATCTCACTCACGGTCAAAGCCACAGTTCTTGTACTGGTTGTCCAGCCCCTACCTAACCTACCTTCCCCTAACCTCCCTCCCACATGTCCAATGACGCTCCCCTTCCAACACTCTGCTCTAGCCACAGTGGCCTCTTTGCTCTGCCTTGAACGTGCCAGGTACTCCTGTCTCAGGGCCTTTGCACTTGCTGTGTCTTCTTATCAGACGGCTTCTCCTCTGCTATCCACATGGCTCACTCCCTAGCCTCCTTCAGGTCTTTACTCAATTGTCACCTCCTTAGTGAGGTCTTTGGCCAAGCAATCTAAAATTTAAAACTGCCTCCCCTCCCCCACGCCAGCATGCCTCATCTTCCTTCCCTCCTTTATATCCCTTCTGCATTTATCACCTTCTAGCACACTGTGTGTTTGTATTGCTTATTGTTTGTCACTCCCATTATAATGTAAGCCCCATGAGGGCAAGGCTTTTTGTTTGTTTTGTGTCCTGCTGTATCTCCAGCATCTAGCTCAGAATTGGTGCTCAATAATACGTTACTATTGTTATTTTTATATTATTTTCTCTGGAGCACCGAAGGTAGGTTGGGCCAGCCTACCCCTGCTGTGACCAGGAGCTTCCAAGATCATCCTGCTTCTTCCTCCTGTCCCTGTTGTCTCTTCCACGGGATCCCAGGAGCTGCAGGCTTCTAGCCCAGAGCCTCATCCCTCTCTGCAGGCTTCCCCACTTATTTCAAAACACAGCCCCCTCTGCTTGCTCTGGGGCTTCCTCCCTGCCAGGGAACTCAGTGAGCCTGGGGGCCGGTGGCTGGTGGCCTGTGCGCCATCTCATTCCAGAGGAATTTCCCTGGTTCCCAAAGCAGCCCGGGTCCTGGGAGCCCGGAGCCTGCACGGCCTGATTTGGATCCTGGGAGCAGGGCCCCAGCTGCAGCCTTCCCCAACCAGATGGAACCCTGTTCTGAGGCCTCTCTGAAGCCTCCTCGGTCTCGTGCATCACCGCTCTTTCTAGATCACTGGGTCGAGTCTGAGCCTGGGAGGACAGTACCACAGTCACTCGGTCACTCCACTGGGCCAGGCTCCTCCTCCTTTAGGAGCACCTCCTGGGTCCACCCTCAGGAGTCTCTAAGATCCCCTCCCCTCTCAGTAAACCCATCTCAGTCCCCATCAAACCTTGTCGGCTCCATGTCCCATTTGCTTGTGGCCTGTTGGAGTGGCTGACAGTCCGTTACTGTGTCCCTTCTAAGACCTTCAGGAGATACAATGCTTTAATTCCGAATGTGGCTAACGGAATTGCAGGCTGGCAGGGGTGGGATTTTTGGTACAGGCTGGCCTTTAGTCTCTGAACTCCCACCAGGAAAGAGGACAAGATCTCATATCAGACAGACCGGGGTTGGAATCCTGACTTTATTACTTAGCTGTGTCACCTTGAGCAAGTTGCTTGCCCATTTAAAAAGCAGGTGTAGCAAAGGTATCACCTTCCTCTTAGGGTGTCTGTGAGGATTAAGCGAGATGGTGTATATGAGGCCCTCAGCTTGGGGCCTGGCACGGAGTGAGGCCTCAACAAATGGGAGCACTCCTGCTGCTATGGGATGCTGGGTCTGTCCTCTTCCTGCAGGATGCTGAGCCTAAGTATATACCTTAGTAACGTTGTTTTAGTTTTTGTATGTTTTGGAACTTTATGTAAATGAAGCCATATTGTATATATTCTGCCATTTGCCTTTTTTATTCAACATTATTTTTCTGAAATTCATGCATGTTGTTACTGCTGTATAGTATTCCATTGAAGGACTGGATCATGATTTAATTATTCATTCTCTGGTCTAAGGATAGTTGGGTTGTTTTCAGTGTTTTTCTTTTAGAAACAGTGCTGCTATGAACATTCCTGTTCATAAGTGGACACACACACGCAATGGTATAAATCTAGGGGTGGAACTGCTGGAATTTTATGGGGTCCTGCTAAATTATTTCCCAAGGTGGCTGTGCCTGCTCATACTCCCATCCACAGGACAGAAGCGTTTGCACTGCTCCACAGCCTGCCCAATGCCAGCTTTGTGAGTCTTTGTAATTTTTGCTGATCTGGAGGGTGGTATCTCATCGTGTTCCTCCTTGATTTCCCAGTATATTCCCCAAAGCAGCCATTTTTGGCTTTGCTGAGGTTGAGGTTAGTTACTCTCTCCTCTTTGGAAGTGTATCCATCCCCCTCTCCCATTCTTGGCTATGGCAGAGGAGGAGACAACCTTCTTCCTCTCTCACACCTGGTTCTTTCCTCTCTCTTTTGTGCTCCCACTCTCCCCCGACTTCCTGTCATTTTCAGTGTCCCTCTATTAATGATTTCCAGATTTCATAAATGAGTAGTGTTTCAGACAGTGCTGGTTGCATACCCAACTCTGGCTATTTTCAACTTTTTATTCCTTGTCTCCCTCCCCCTGTAGAGTCTGAAAATGTTAGGTACTTTCCTGGCTTCCCTTGCAGCTAGAAATGGCCAATGACATACACCAGTCCCCCCTTATCCATGAGGGACACATTCCGAGACCCCCAGGGGATGCCTGAAACTGAGGATAGTACCAAACTCTATATATACTATGTTTTTTCCTATACATATGTATTTGAGATGTGACAGCAAAACTAGCATGAATTTCTTTTTCCTTCTTCGCAATTTCATGGATGGAAGATTCATTCTTACCATAGATCTTAGCAACCTCATGTATAATTTCTTTTCTTTCTTTATTAAGTTGAGAACTTTCACCTTTTTGCTTAAAGGAAGCACCTAACGGCTTCCCTTTGACATATCTGAATTGCCAACATCAGTACTCTTGTGCTTTGGGGCCATTATTAAGGGTGACTTGAACACAAGCACTGTGATACCTTGACAGTCGATCTGATAACCGAGATGGCTATATGTGACTAATGGGCAGGTAGTGTATATAGCATGGATATGCTAGACAAAGGGATGATTCACACTACTCAGAAGGGCATGCAAGTTAAACTTATGAATTGTTTATTTCTGGGATTTTCCATTTAATATTTTCTGGCCATGGTTGACCCTGGGTAACTGAAACCATGAAAAACAAAACTGTGGATAAGGAGGGACTACTGTATAAGAGGAAATATGCCAGGAGGCTTCTGGGAAATCTTGAAGATTTGTCTCTCTGAGAAAAAGAAGTAGGCTCTCCCCGTTTCTTCCTGCCATGGATGTTTATATATGAGAACACGATGTTTGGAGCTGCAGCAGCCATCTTGCAACTACAAGGCAATAACTCTGAGGATGAGAAACCAATGTGCTTGGAATGTTGTAGAGAAAGGATGGAAAAAGCCTGGATTCTTGGGGACTTTGCTGAGCCACTGAGCTAATCCTGGAGCTCCACTCCCCAGACTTCCTATTATGTTAATTAAATGTCTTTATTGCTCAAACCATGTTAGTAAGATAATGTTTTTGCAGCCCAAACATCCTGACTGATGGGGTGTCTTTGTGTGGATTTCTCTCTCTTGATTTTTCTGTGTTCTGTTCACCAGCTCTTTTTGTACTCCTCCAAACTGCAGTCTGTAAAGATTCAGTAATGCAGTTCCTGCCTCTCTAGTTGCTCTTGAACTTTGTATAACACTTGATACTATTCATCTACCCTTCTGGAGGACTTTGCCTCCTTGGGCTTCTGTGATGCTCCAGGGTCCTGGATTTCCATCTTCCATCCTTCTCTTCTCCTTTTACTGCCCCTTTCTCACCATGGGCTACGCTTGGTGAACACCTGCTACAGACTGAGAGCCGAACTTGGCTCCTTCCAGAGGTCATTTTGTTTACTGCTTACAAAGATCCTGCGACTTGGTATTATTATTCCTACTTTACAGATGTGGAACCTAGGCTCTCTGAGGTTAATGAACTTGCCCAAGGCCATTCAGTTAGTAAGGGACACAGCTGGGATTTGAACCAAGGCATCTTTGACTTCAACTGTACCATCTTGCCCAGGGCTAGACAGTTGGTCCCTTTCTCACAGCTCTCTTTATCCCTTTCCCAAGGTCAAGTGACATATTCTTATGGCATCCAATGTTACTTTTATAGAGAGACCTCCCAAGTCTTAACCTATAGTCTTACACTATCCCCTTAGTCCTAAAAAAATTGCTGAAGCTTCTATCCTTCACATGTGGCATGCAGAGTGTCACCTAATCTGCCTTTGTGATTTCTGATCATGGCATCTCCCAGCCACGGAGATGGATGGACAGTCCCACATCCTTTATCTACCCCTCCTGTCTTCCTCTCATGTACTGAGTCAGAAGCAGCAGCTTGTGGCAACTCCATTTAAAATGTTTCTTGAATCTGTCTCTTTGCTGCCATTCCTAGGCAGACCCATGCTTGCCGCCAACCCCCAACCTGGTCTAGCACACTGGCTTCCTTCCTGCTCTTCCTGCTTCAGCTCCTGCCCTCTAATCCATCCCCAAGGTGATCCCAGGTGACCTGTTCCGGTAGGTTGCTTTCCTTATGCCCCTCACTGTTTGGCTCCCTCGCAGGCTCTCCATTGTCTTGCTTCACGGCTCTTCATTGTCTGGCTCCAGCCTTGTTTCTCTACAGAGTAATTCAAATCAGTCAGCATGGTCTGCTGTTTCAATATACCTTCCCCTTCCTTAACTTCCAGCTGCCCATTTGTCCAACCCTGTCTGTCCTCCTCCTCTAAGCATCAAACAGCTCATCTTTCAGAAACCACCTCTGGACCCTTGGGCCAGGGGAAGACTCCAGTCACCAGACCATAGGGATCTCTCCCTCCTCAGCTTTCCCATAACACTCACCATCTCTGTGGGTCACTGGGGTACCTGTCAGTTGCTTGCTGTGCCATGGTGTCTAAGCTGGGTTTCCCAAACAAGACTGTGAAGTCCATTGTGATTGGAACCTTGCCTCTCCCGGCCTGAGGCTCAGTGTTGGGAGCTGAATGGAGAGATTCCCTTTCCTGCAGTCAACCCACCTTCCTGTACAAATAGTGATTGAGCAGCTACCATGTTCCAGGTACTATTCTGAGCACTGGGAATGCAGCTGAGGAGACAAAGTTCCTGCCCTCAAGGGGCTGATGGTCTAATAGGGAAGACAGACAAATACTTTTTAGAAAGTATGACTGTTTTGTGGTGCAAGTATAGGGTGCTCATAATAGGGGCATCTAACCACGGCTAAAGTGCCAGGGAAGGCTTCCCCAAGGAAGTAAATTTTATTTTATTGTTTGAAAATCTCAATTTTTTATTATTAGATTCAACAAAGAATAATATTGTAATAAATACAATCAGAACAAACAAAATATAGGGGAAAAGAAAATAAAAACTGTACTACTCAGGGAAATAAATTTTAAGTTGGGACCGGAAGAGATTTATCCACGGGGAGAGGAGGGAAGCAACGTTCCAGGCAGAGCATATATGAAGGCTCGGAGGTGATACAGAGCACAGCACATTTGAGGGAATGAATGATACAAGTCCAGTAAGGCTGTGGCTGGTGTGGAGAGCGCGAGGACAGACGTGCTGAGACGGGGCTGGGAGGGGCAGGCCGGGGCCAGATGGGCGGGACCTAGGAAAATAGGAGCCTAGGGTGTGGTGGCCTTGGTGAAGAGAGGGTGATACATTTTACCTAAGGAAGCTGTAGATACAGGGAAATATCAGGGGGCAAAGAAGGACGAATAGAGGACATGGAGGCAGGAAATGGTGAAAAGGCTAGCGGAAATCTGAAGACTATGGAAACATTCCTACCACTGGAACCTGGCCTGTGACTTGCCCTGTGGTCAGGAATTGCAAAAGCTCAACAGGAGTTTACCAGGCAAAGCACGGTAAGCTAAAAAGCCACGTGAGAGGTGTCTACTAAGCCCTGTGCTGGGAGTGGGATGGTTCAAGAAAGGCTTCCTGGCACTGACGGGCTTTGAGATGCATCTGGAAGGTGGGACTCAGAGTATTGTGGTGGGTGGGCTCAAGAGAGTGTTCTCTCCTTCCCACCTGTGCCTGGTGCCCAGCCCTTGGCTAATGGCCTCTGGCTCCGGAGCCCACGGTGGCTGTTACCCCTGGAGGAAGGCCCTCTGCCTCTCCTTCCACAGCAGGAGCCGTCTTTGGGAGAGTGGGGTTTGCAAAGGCCACTTCCTGGACATTCGTTTCCTACCCAGCCTCTGCCAACCAAATCAAATGCTACTTTCTTTCCAAGGCAATTGGACCAACTTGTGCAAACATGCAAAGCCAATAAGTGGGTCTGAACTGAGGTCTTCATCTATTATAGCACCTCCCCCACTGTCCAGAAGAATATTGTATCATCTACAAAATAAAATTTTCATTTATATTCCTTCCCATAGAACAAATTAGATATAAAATGATTGGTTCTAACACTATCTCAAAGAACCCCGCTTCTTTCTCTCCCTTTTCCAAATAATTTTGCTTTAATTAATTCAACAAGTATTTATGGAAGCAGACATTATTCTAGGCATTTGGGATACATCAGTGAACATAACAAAGATCCCTGCCCAAGCTTACCATTTAGCAGGCAAGACAACCAGAAGACATAATAAGTAAGTTATAAGCGTTTGCTAGAAACGGTGATGAGTGCCATGGAAAAAGAACAACAAGAGGAACGAAACAGAGAAGTTCTCTATTCCCATGAGCCGAGCATCATGGCGGAGTGAGTTATTCTCTTTGTCTCTCCCTTCTAAGTTAGTGGACATCTGTTGACCCATGACTCCCTACACAGCACAACAGAGCACCTGAGAGATCCATGCGTCTATTCCCACGAGCCAACCCCCCTTAGTGGGAAGGAGGATGAGAACAATGAGAGGGAAGGAAGAGAGAGGATAGGGCTTCTGTTTTTTGCTCTAAGCCCTTGTCCCTGGTTGGAATTTTAAACTAATTGCATGTATCACTTTGATAAAAATAAAAATTAAGTTCAAATAGTGCTGTAACTATATTGGGAGGTGAGGGTGGCAGGGTGAGCCAAGTTCTCTTCTGTCACTGCAGAAAACAGGACAAGGTTTCTAACGTTAATAAATCAAGAAATAGAACCACAGGCATATCATTGAGCAATGTAAAGAAGACTCGCAGAAGAATTGAAAGCAGAAACAGCTACAAGAGTGAAAAGTCATTTCTTCCAGGGGAGAAATCGGGTGTGTCTTGGGGGCTTGTGCAGGAAGTGAGGAGCTGGTGGGGTAGGTAAGTTCTGCCCCCCCTTCATCCAAATCCACTTTCTTTTCTTTGTTTCAGATATGACTTTCATGAAAGATTTTGTTTGAACAAAGGATTCTGCAGCTGAAATTGATTTGAACTCCATGATCCCTTTTGGCTTTCATAATTAATGATTCTTTAAAAGCAGCTGTTATTCTTTATGCTCAGCCTATTTGCTTCCTCAGAGAACTTCCATCATTTAGTCAGAAGCCCTGCAGTCTGCCCCCAGTGGGCCATGGTTTGAAGTGACCGGTGAGTTTGTTGCCAGTTTGCTTGATATGGAAGTGAGACCCTGCAGTCAATCACTTGATGATTGTACTCTGGAGGGCCTCCAGAGCCACTATTAGAACAGGGACATACACCTTTAGGTATTCTGCCTGGCCTCCAGCACAGTGGCTCCTGTAACCACAGGTAAGCATTTTAGCTAATAGTCCCCTGGTGTCATCCCAGCATCTGCAATTTCCCCTGGGGTAGCTGTGAATTCTTACAGAACCTTGCCTCCCACTCCACTGTCTCTAGATGATAGAAAGAGATGGAAAGAGACTATGAATGAAGACAAGAAAGGGAGGCAACCCCCCATTAGCTTAGTCACCTCCTAGTGACTCCACTTCCAGACATGTGTCACGGTCTGCCTGCTCTGGTACTATTTTTAGGGCAAGTCCCCTCCATTCATGTTTCCGGGGCCTTTGCAGTCAGCCCTGTTGCTGCCTGGCAGCTGCTTTCTTGAGTTTGAGGTTCCAGAGGTTCTGGGTTTCCAGGCACCTTTCATGCCTTCTTGCCTTTGCACACCTGTCCCTTAATCTGCTGTCTGGGGATATGACATGAGTCCTTGAAGTCTAAGCCAGATGTCATGTAGTTTGTAAAACCTTTTCTGGACCCCGACTCTGAGGAGACTGTCTCCACATTACCCCTTATCACAGAGCCTGGTCATCACTTGATTATATCTTGGGGTCCTTGGGGTGCACGAGACATCCAAAGGTCATCTTTCTGACTGGCATACAGAGGGTATCCAATGAGTCATTCAGTTAAAGGAAGCATGTTTCCCGATCTTTTCTGTGCTTTAGGAAACCTCTTGGGCCTGGAAGCACTGTCGCTCTGGGAAGATCTCCAGCAAGACATTTCCATAAATCTTTTCCTGTTTTCCTTTTGAAAGACCAGATTTGGAAGAGTCCAGTAACATCTACAGAGAGTCTCCTATACTTGGAGGGATCCTGTCTGGGGAGGGAGAATTATTGCCACCATCTTACAGATCAGAGAATGGATGCTCAGAGAGATTGAGACTTGCTGATGATCACATAGTAAATAGCAGAGCCAGGGGTTGAAACCCATGTCATCTGACTCCAGGGACACTGTTTCCTACCACACACTTCCTCGTAGTCCCCGCAATGTGCTGTGAGATGACAACATTGAAGACTTTCCAGACCACAATTTCCCCCTCAAGCATTCATGCAATTGTTTTCCTTCCAGACCCAAGTGCTGAGAATCTCCCTGACTCACCTGCTTTTTCTTCATTTCCCTGAGATTTGCTGGCTCTTTCCCTGTTTTCTCTGCAGTTTACAGAAGTTCATTTCTCTCTCATCTCTTTCCAGATATCATGATTTACAAAGCTTTCAGTGGGTTTCTTTTTCAGGCTGTGGTCCTTTTTGGGGAAACTTTCCAATGCAGCCACAGATTGGATGATGATAACAGCGAATTAGTGGGTGGATCTTCTTTGATCTTATTTTGTGGGTGAACTCATTAATTTATGACAAAAACATCAAAGAGCTAAGCTCTTGCATAGGACTGGTTTGTCCCAAGGCAGCTGGGTAATGATGATTAGTCAGATTAAATCTCAACATCTTCTCCTGCCTCAAGAGTTAAAGTCCCAATGACTGGAGTGTGGGAACGTCCCATCCTGTGGCATCCCAGCACAGCCTTAAGTCAGCACAGTACGAAACTCTCTCCACTCCAAATGTGGATCTCTCTCCATGGTCTCTACTTTGATGCCTCCAAGCCTTGAGGTCTGTTGAGATTGTTATAACAACCTAGGAGGTAATGTAGTGATAAAAGGCTGAGGCTGTTAAAGTCTCTTCCCAGCCAGAGGAGCTGGCTAATAAAAGGGGTCATTCATCCTTGTGTGGATGATCTTAAGGTTTTCTATAGAGTCCTAGTCCTGTAATTTCAATGGGAAAGAGAACTCTCTCTGGGCTACACAAGAAAGTGCCAGCACCACACTTGGCACACAGCAAACTTTCCATACATAGTGGTTGAATGTACTGGTTGAGACAGGTCATGATGCGTGAATAGTCTCTGGCTAGTTGAAATGGAGTAAGAAGTAGAGCTCGGGTCTTTGCTTATACTCCAAAATCTCCTAACCTACTCACATCTGTGGCCATTTACTCTGCTTCTTCCACTGTATCCAAGGTAGAAAATTGTCTGTGCTCATCTCCAAAGCCATCCCCTCCATGTTTGCCCTGGATCCCATCCTCTGCTGACCCCTTCAGGGCTTGCTTCTGCAATTATCCCTCTCTTTTCCAAGCCACCATGTTTCTCTCTCTACTGGATTATTCCTATCAGCAAATAAGCAAGCTCTAATGTCTCCCATCTTAAAAGAGCCTCCCTTTCTCCCACTTCTCCTTTAAGCCATCATGCTACTCTTTGCTCCCCTTTACAGTAAAATGCCTCTGAAGAGTTGTTACATTCTCAGTATCTCTTCTCCTCCATTCTAACTCTCAAACCCACTTTAATCAGGATCTCATTCCCATACTCCACTAAAACAGCTCTTATCAAGGTTACCAGGGACCTTCTTGCTGCCAAGTCCAATGGTCATTTCTCAGTCCTCATCTTATTCTACATGTGAGCAGCACTCAACGCAGCTGGTAAGGTTCTGTTACCAGGCTTCTTGCTTGACTCCAGGACACCACTCTCTCTTGGATCTCCTCCTACTTCACTGGCCACTCTTCTCAGTCTCCTCTTGTCTTCCCGACCTGTAAGTAATAAAGTGCCCAGGATCAGTTCTTGGACAATTTTTCTAGCTATACTCACTCCCTAGATGATCTCATTTAGTCCAATGGTTTTAAATACTATTCACATACTGATGACTCCTAAAGTCATATCTCCAATCCTCTACTTCTCCCTTGAACCCCAACTGCCTACTCTACTTAAATGTGTAATATGTACATCAAACTTCAAACCTAAATCAACTAAACACAACCACAACTATGTATTCCCCATCCCTTCGGGCCTGCTCAGCTGTTGGTAAATGGCAATTCCTTTCTTTCAGTGGTTCAGACTTCAAAACTGGGAATCATCTATGACTCTCTTTCATACCACACCCCCAATCTATCAACAGATCCTCTCAGCATTACTTCCAAATTGTATCTAGGGTCTGGCCACTTCTCACCACCCCCACTGCTGCTATCCTAGTCTAAGCCACTACAATTTCTTGCCTGGACTACTCTAACAGCCTCCTAATTGCTCTCACTGCTTCTACCCTTGCCTCTCCCCAACCCTCGCATCCAGAGTAATCTTTTAAAAAAACCACAGTTAGATAATGCCATGCCTTGATTCTAGACCTTCTACGGCTTGCCATCTCACTTTCTGAATAGAATCCACAGTCCTTACCTGGGCCTATAAGACCTGGCTCCTGCTACCTCTCTGATCTCAGTTCTCATCTCTCTTCCCCTGTGTACTCCAGTCTATCCAGTCCAGCTACATTGGTCTCCCTGCTGTGCTTTAAACATACCAGCCCATTCCTGCCCTGGGGCCCTTGTACTCTGTCCTCTAAGCCTTGTCACTCTTCCTTCGGGTACCTGCATGCTAAGTTCTTTCACTTCCTTCAGGCCTCTGCCCAAATTTCACCTTATCAAAAGAGCATTCCCTGAGTATTCTTTCTAAAATAACCCCCTCTATCACTCTCTTCCTCTTCACCATGCTTGAGTTTTCTTCCCAGCAATGATCACAACTCAACATACTTTATACTTATTTGCTTATCTGTTATTGTTACCCCCATTAGTATGTAAGCTCAGTAAGAACAGAGTCTTTCTGCGTTTAGTCATTGCTGTATCCCAAGCTCCCAGAAGAGTGCATGACACATAGTAGGTGTTCACCAAATATATGTTGAATGGATGGATTTGTTGAGTGGACTCATTCAGGTCTCTAGTCATCAGGTAAAGAGAGTGGCTTCCAGATGATTCCCTAATTAATATGGTCAAAATCAAGTGTGAGGAACTGGAAGAGGTGTACACAGAGATCATGAGATTATGCATTCATTTATTACCAGTGACCACCATGGGATTTACAGATATTTTCAGTTTGCTCCTTAATGCCAAGTCATTTGCCAAACTCTAAGGTGGAACGAAACATCTGCCTTTAGCTTCTTTGGCATGTCACTTATCCTCTGGGACTTGGTGTGTTCATCTATGAAACAGGCATTTGGAGATGTGGTTACTGCTCTGCTAGTTTATGGTCTAGAAGATGCTGGAGGGAGGCAGTGCGCTGTGGAGGATCAACCACAAGCTTCTGGAGCTTGAGTGCTTGTGTTTCAGTCCTGCCTCCATTCCTCGCAAGCCACGTGGCCTTGAGCAACTTACTCAGTTTCCTCATTTGTAAAGTGGGAATAATAAAAATATAATAATAGCATTTAATTTAAAGAGTAATTGTGAGGATTATATATGTAATACATGTAAAGTGTGTAGCATATGGCCTGTCACACAGTAAGTGCTCAATAAATGTTAGCTATTAAAAATGAAAAGTTCTGGGGGATTTTCTGAGGGGTCATTGCTATTAATGTGTTTTAGGGGCAATAAGTTTTCCTAGAATATTAGATGATATGGAATTTTAAAAGATGTATTAGTAATATTGTGCTTAGGTAGGAGAATGCCCTAATTCTTAGGAGATGCATGGTGAAGTAGTTAAGAATAAAGCCTTGCAATGTCAGTCACTTACTTTCTAATAATTTAGCTAAAGACATCTCTATGTTTCCATTATCTATCAAGTAAATGTGGCAAAATGTTTACAAATGTTGAAGCTGGGTGGATAGTGTAGTTTATTGTACTATTCTTTCAACTTTTCTGTATGTTTGAAAATTTCGAAATAAAAGGTTGAAGAAAAAACAAAAGAAAGGACCCTAGAAATAGTCTAGCAAAGTCGAACACTCATTTTGTAGGAAGAAGCTCAGATGTGAAGTATTTGCCCAAGGTCATACAGCTGGAGAAGCCTGAGTCAGAACCCAGGCTGGCCGTCTCTCCCTTTGTGTGGGTTGTTGCTGTTGACCCTCAGGAAGCAGTGAGCTGCAGAGGAACACACCCAGCTTCTCCCCACAGAGCCCAAGGGGTTTTATGGGTGTGTAAAAAGGCACCTGTGCTGGTGTTTCATTTTTTGTTTATTAAGCAAATAGATAGGTCATCTAGTTGGGAGGTGTGATGTGGAAAATGTGAAGGCAGCACCAAGGCCAGACCTGCCATCCTTAGAGAGTGGACATACCAGTTTGGCAGCATCTGCTTGTGGTTTTTGAGTGGTGGTGTGGTGGTGGTGTGCATGTGTAAACTCTGGGATTTCAGAGGAGAGAGGGAAGAGTAAGGGGTGGGGCCAGGGCCAGGAAGAGCAGCAAGGAGAGACTGGCTTCAATTCTGGAGCTCCCTGAAGGAAGAGACCCCAGGGTATTGCTGGGGATGAAACGCGAGCACGTGTTTAAAGAAAGGAAATAATTCTCTGCAGTCTGCAGCATCCTCCTCTAGCTAATAGGGTTCAAGGCAGTGAAAAGGAGAGAGCAGGGAAAGGAGGGAACGTCCATGCAAGCATGGGGAGAGGGCACAGACAAGAGACGGGAGAGAAAGAAGAGAAAAAACACAAGAGAGGCAGCCTGGGCCAAGGGAGGGTAGGGGTCGAGGGAGGAGGGGTGTTGGAAAGGTAAAGAAGCCGCACCTGGGGGCCTGCAAACGCTTGGAGGACTGTCAGCCTCCGCAGGCTGGAGTATCTTGTCCCAGAACCGTCCTTCCTCTCTCTCCTCCGGGTCTGGGAGTCCCTGGAGGCCGCGGGAGCGCGTGCACAGCTCCTGGCGCTCTCACTAGGGGGAGGGGCAGGCAGGAGAGGCGGGGCCTCCGGGCCGGGCGGGAGCGGAGCCTCTGGCCACGGGCGGGGCGCCTCTCCGGCGGGCAGGCGCCCGAGTCTGGGGGCCGCCGCTTCCCCCTCCCGGTCCGCGGAGGCGCCTAGTCCCTCCTCCACCCTCCACCCCCAACCCCACCGCCGCCTTCAAAGCTAAACCCGACCGTTGCCTGCAGGAGCAGCGGCAGCCGGCGATCCGGCTGTGAAGATCTTCGGGCGCGGCCTCGCCTCCCTGGCCCGGAGCCCGCATCAGCACCGCGGACAGCACAGCGGCCGTCGCCCGGACCCAGGTGCCAGCCGGTCCACCAGCCCAAGGGCGCCCGGGCCCCCGGCTTCCGCATCAGCACCGCGGACAGCGCCCCTGGCCCCATCTCGCCGCTGCCAACCCACCTGCTTCCCGAGTCAGCACTGCGGACAGGCACCCTCGACCGGCCCCGCCGCGGACTCAGAGCGGTCAGCTCCCCCGGAATATGGCCACTGAGGTAGGGGACGAGCACCTGGTCTGTCGGCAGTGCCCGACTGCTGCGGGAACAGATCTCCGCTAGGGCGGACTGGGCGGGAAAAGATGGCGGGGGGAGGAGGGGAGGATGGGGAGGTGGGGAAGTGGCTGGATGGGATGGAGTGGTTTCCCCGAGTCGGGTCCCGAGGGAAGGGGTGGCGGGTGGAATGGCAGGGCGGAAGAGAAGGGCTCCTCCTGAGAGCTCATCTCACCCCTCGCGTGTCAATCTTCCCCATCTGAGTCCCAAAGCTGTCCGCGCCACTTGTTGGCACTAGCGCCAGGGTTGCTCCAGGGCACCAGCTGGGATTTCCCCTTCCCGGGGACTGCAAGTCCTGAAACCTCTTCCCCAAAGGGTTAGAGATGAGCATGCGCCTGTTTTAGGGGCGGGAAGGCAGCTGGCTGCTGTTGCTATGCGGTGCAGCCATCCAGCTTCTGAACCCAAAAGCCTGGCTAAAAGATGACAGACTTACCTCCACATCCCCATTTCCTTCTGGGGAGGGTGGGGACAAAGACATTCTCAGGCCCAAAACCCAAATGATTGGTTTTAATGAGCTACTTGCACTAACCCCTGCTTTTGCATATCACCCTTTCTTGCATTTTTCACCTCGTTTGAGTTTTCCTGGTGCACACATTTCCCCCATGTCTGAAGGGAGGAGCTGTCTTCTTCAGGGTGTGCCTCTAGGTGTGTCACCTTAAAGGGATTTGAAAGCTAAGTCGAGGGACCTGTTAGCTAAAGGTAGAATCTTGGTGCAATGCTTAAGAGATCAGGAATTACCTCCCCTACCCCCTCATTTCATGAGGGCAATGGATCTCTTTATGTCCCCACTTTTTAAGTGGGAAAGCTAACATGTGGAGAAGGGGAGGACCTATCTGATACTCACACAGCATGTCAGCAGCAGAGCTGAAAGTTTCTTGCTTTGAATCTTTGGAGTGGAACCCAGGACACCAGGGTCTCTCCAGTTCTGATGCTGACTTCTTTTGCAGTGTTGCTGCATTTCCAGCCCAGCTGGAACACAAGCCAGGAGGACAGCAGAGGCTTTTGAATGATTCTATGCAGTGCCTCTGGGCATCCTGGTGAGCAGCGTGACATCAATACTAAGTGTTATTGTTGTTATTCTGCTGTCATTGTCACCAAAGAACAAGGGCAGTTGTTTGGCATCACATGGTTTTCTGACAAAGCACAGGGTCAGCTAGGAGAGCTTGCCCCCCAGGGCCCTGTGAGGGGGCAAGCCCTGAGCAGACCCATGAAGTTGGCTTCTAGGGTGGAGGAATGCAGCGTACTCCGCAAGTGCCAAAGACACTGAGAAGAGCAGGAAGAACAAAGGGAGAAATGGCCAAGGTATTGGTCACCTTCCAGACAGGGCTGCCAGACTGCAGCAAAGGCTGCTGGTGTTGGGCAGAAAGGGGAAACTTCAGCCACATGGGCACGGCCGGGCCAGCAGTGTAGGCAGGGTAGGTGGCCACATCTGTGATGTGATCAGAGATTCCAAGAGGCCCATCTGTCCCAGCATATCCCTCTCAGGTCTGCTATGGTCCACAGATTCCAACCAGCAGGCTCACATCTCTTTGTTGATACGGGGTTTCCAGGAGGCTGCTGTTAGGCATGTATGACTCTCCCCTGGGAGTGGCTTTGCTCATAACGCCTCTGTGAATATAGCACTTTACTGGGTACAAAGCACTATCACATGCATGATCTTCTTTGAGCCTTAGAGCAACCCTGTGAAGTGGGTGAGAATGGTATTATTATCCCCAATTAACAGATGAGACAACCAAGGCTCAGAAGCTTGCTTGATCCCCGTGCAGGAGCCAAGGAAGGCATCATTATTCTATTTTACAGATGATGCAACTGGAATGCTGAGGCTTATTCAAGAAAATATGGTTAAAAAGTGGCAGAGCCAGGACCAGAACTTGCCTTCTGCTTCCCTGGCCAGTGCCTTGTCTGATGCACCCAGGTGTATCCAATTAGCCAATTGTGTTGCCCAATAGAGCGGAGAGCACTAGGCAGCTCGACCTGAGGCTTTGTTGGGGGAGGGATGCAAAGGAGTTCAGGAAGGGCTGGAGGGTGGGGACTCAGGCCCCCTGACTGGCCTGGCAGGGTCAGCTTGAGGGCAGAAGGACAGAGGAACGCCCATAGGGATGGGGAGCTGAGGGCAAACATTGCCCATTTTCCAGTTTGGCCTCAGGTGGACTCAGATGGCGGCCCTGAGGCAGAAGCCTTAGTTCTGCCAAGGCACAGGATGTGCGCAGTATCTGGGCTGTGGAGTGAGTCATTCTCCCCAGGCTGTTTGTACTGTTAGGACTGAGTTAAGATTACCAGGAAAAACCTGTTGGGAGAAGGAAAAGCTCACGCCAAGCTCCTGTGTCCGTTCCCTTAGGGTTCTGAATGGGAAGTCTTCAGCTCCAGCAGAAGGTGTTTTGAGGAGAGGGATGAAGAAGGGGAGGAACCGAGACAGATCAGGGAGCCTTGGATCCCTGGGTGAAAGGCATGGAAACTTGACCTTTTCTACTTCCTAATTTCTGTTTAGGAATTAGCATTAGGGGAGGGGTGTGTGTGAGGCACTCAGAGGAGGGATGAAGCCTCTTGAGCCACACACTGACCTCATTTGGAAACCCATTTCCTTAGCAACAAACCTCTCCTAATGTGTGTCACTGGGAACAGGGTTCGCCCTGGGAAGCGGTCCAGGTGGCCACAACTGGGAAATGACTGGCTGGCAGGGGCTTCTCTGAGTGGTGAAGTTTGGCCCCTAAGAGAATTTTTAATGGATCCAAGTAGCTTTACCCAAGAAAGGCATTTGGAGGTTTGACTTCCAAGGCATGGAATTAACAACCAGCGGACGATGGGCTGGGCTTGGGCCCTGGTGAGGGCTGAGAAGAGAGGCCCTGTGTCCGGGCTTCCATCCTGACTGGGCTGCCTGTGACTCATGATCCTCACTCCTCCTCCACACCCCAGCCAGGGAGCACTGTGTTGGCTCATCCGCTGAATCTCTTGATTGTTGAGTTGAGCCTCAAATGCATCCTCTGGAATTAGCTGGTATTTAATGAGGGTGGAGATGTGGGCCAGATGGGGCCTCCTGTTTGTCTTGGGACCAGCAAGGAGCCCGGGAGCGCTCATCTGTGCTGCAGTGCTCGCTCTTCCCTGACTCTGCCAGGTTGGCTCTGTCGGGTGTACAGGCCCTAAATGTGTGACCTGGGGTACCCACTTCCCAGGTAGCCACCCCCTCCCTGTCACACTGCGGTTCAAAAATGGGTGCCAGCAGATCTCACACTGATTTTTTCTTTCTTCCTCATGAAATGTCTCTTGGTCCTGTCGTTTCTCAGCTGCCAGCAGGCCAGGGGAGGGTGATGGGAGAGAGGGCAGGGTTGGGGAAGGTGAGAAGAGGATGAGAAGCCCAGGTGTCTGGGTGAGTTAAGAAATCCTGAGGGAGCCGCCTGGGGGACACATGGAAGCTGTGGCCTCACAAAGGGGCGTGAGCATGTTCTTGGACGCCCTTGTGGGATTTCAGAGCATCATGGGTCTCTGCCTAAAACCCCCACCAGTTCCCTGAAAGCTAGGTAGCTGGCAAGTGGCCTGGAGCCTGCTCTAGCTCTGGTCCGAGGCCCCCTTCCGAGGGATTCCTTATTCAGAGGTCCTAAACTGGCAACTCTAGCGATGGAGCTGGTTCACAGGTGTGCCTTATTTGGTTTGCTTGGTGCTTATAAATTTAAAAAATTTATTGTAAACATTAAAAAATCAGGGTATTTGATATTAAGGAAATCCAGGTCTATGGCTTCTCTTAAAATGTCAGAAGTGTGGCAGCCCGGGCCCACATTCTCACATGGCAACGTCAGCTGCTTTGATGGGGCAGGACATGAGTTTTCTATTTAGCCACAGTCCCCACCTGGCCCATTTACGTGCTTGGCCCCTGTAAACATTTGTGTTCATCATCCTTGATAAGGCCTCCAGAATGTCAGAGCTGGAAGGGGTTTTAAGTGATTACGTAGCTCCAGCTTCTCAGTTTCTAGTTGAAGAAACAGAGGCCCAGAGATGGGAAGAACTTCGCAGGGTCGTGTGGCCAGGACTAGCACCCAGGCCTCCTGCTCCCAGGTCAATGGGCCATCTTTCCACCAGGGCTTTTTGGTACTTCACAACTGAGCCACGATGGATGCAGAGAGCCTTAAATCCTACTCTTCAGCGACTACACGTGAGCCTGTGACGTGTGTGCTCTGTGTGGATCTGGGAGACTAAAGCTCTGGTATATACAATGTGTCTGATACCAGGGCTGGCCCAGTGGCGCAGCAGTTAAGTTCACATGTTCCCCTTTGGTGGCCCTGGGTTCAGCGGTTCCGATCCTGGGTGGGGACATGGCATAGCTTGGCAAGCCATGCTGTGGTAGGCGTCCCACATATAAAGTAGAGGAAGATGGGCACAGATGTTAGCTCAGGGCCAGTCTTCCTCAGCAAAAAAAAAAAAAAAAAAAAGAGGAGGATTAGCAGCAGATGTTAGCTCAGAACTAATCTTCCTCAAAAGAAAAAATTTTAAAAAATGTGTCTGATACCATCTTCTAGCAACTCAAGACCCCACAAACACTTTCCAGGGAGGGAAGCAGATCCCTAGTCACCTAGAGCTAGGACAGTGTTCTAAAGCTCAGTGTTCTAAGGTAGTGACCTCTTCCACTCAAGCTATTGAGGATCAAAGTACTGATCAAAGCCAAGAGGAAGTGGGACTGTATTATGTAAGGTAGCACCCTTTAAAATCTTTTTTTTTTTTTTTGAGGAGGAAGATTGGCCCTGAGCTAAAATCTGTTGCCAATCTTCCTCTATTTTGTGTGTGGGATGCTGCCACAGCATGGCTTGATGAGCGGTGTGTAGGTCTGTGCCCACGATCCAAACCTATGAACCCCGGGTCACCAAAGCAGAGCGAGTGAACCTAACCACTTTGCCACTGGGCCAGCCCCACCCTTTAAAATCTTAATGTTGTAATACAATAGAAGTTTGTTTCCTGCTCGGTAAAGTCCTAGACAGGTGTTCCTGATCAGCAGATGGATCTCCTCCAGGCAGTGATTCAGGGACTCAGGCTCTTTCCAACTTGTGGCTCCACCATCTTTAACAGATGGCTCCTTTGGTTTTTGTGGAAGGGGAAAGAGCATGAAGGAGTGGTGGTCTTTATGAACCAAGCACATACAGACATCATCACTTTCACTCACATTCCATTCAGTCATATGGCCACACCTACCTGCACAGGAGGCTGGGAATTAATCTAGCTGTGTGCCTAGGAGGAAGAGGAAGTGGCTGTGGTCAACAGCTAGGCAGTCACTAGAGAGACATACCTTCATGGTAGCACACGTGTGTGTGCACACGTTTGCACGTGTGCACTCAGACACAGACAGAGGAGGATGTTGGAGGAGAGGAAGCTGAGTCTACACCAGGATGCCTGCAGCACTGCTCTCTCCCTTTCTTTCCATTCTCACCACTGCTTTTCTTGGTTTAGACCCACTTTAGTTTTTCCCTGGACTTTAGTTTTCAACTTGCCTCCTACCCCAGTCATGCCCACTTCCCATGCATCCCTCACTGAGCTGCCAGAACGATCTCTCTGCGGCTAAGGGGATCCATCCTCAAGATCCACTGGTTGGTGTAAGCGCTTTTAGAAGAGCAGAGGAAAGGCACATCCCCTTCCTCTTCTTTTGAAAATACAACAGTATGAAACCTTAACCAGGCAGAGCAGACAAGTTAATGAATAACTTATTTATATTACCAAAGCATTCATTGCTTTTCCAAGTTATCATAGGGTCCTAGTAGATATCAAGGGGACTTCCTCAATTAAAACCTTGATTAGAGGAATCAAGGACTATTAAGACTAGATGAGCACTTACACGCTATTTCATCCTATCGCGACACTTTGGGAGCATGTCTCTTACGTAAGCAAGGCTCACTTGGGTTTAGGAAAGTCTCGTTAGCCGTCTCTGATTCCCACCTTTTCAGGACTTTGATCTACCAATTATCTGCTCCTGCTACGATACTGACAACCTTTCTCTCATTATTTATTCTTCCCTCAGTTTTTAAGCAAGTTTTATCTTCCGTCTTAAATCCTCCCCTCCAGCAGAAACCCCTCCAGCTCTTTGCCATCCAACCCTCACCTCCTCTGCACCCCTATCTCCCACTGCTATTACCTGATCCACAAACCAACTCCAGTCTGGCTGAAATCTGCCTCCAGTTATTGGAGGAAAGCGCGTTCTCTGCCATCTTCGCTGCTTTGCACAAGCTTCTCCCCTCCCGGGGTTGTCTTTTCCTCCCTCTCCCCACTCCCCACCTGCCCCCCACCACTGTAACTCCTTTATAACTCAACACAGACCTCAGGAAGCCTTTTCTGAGCGAGCTTTTCTGGGTAAGATGTTACTTCTCTGTAGCATTTATCACAGTTTAATTCATTATATATTTACTTGTCTTCCTGGAGCTCATAGACTGTCCTTTGCTCAGCGTCCCCAGAGCCTGGCAGTGGTAGGGACTCAATAAATGAGAGCTGAGTGACTAAACGGATTCACCTTAATTACCCAGGATGGACTGGCCATTGGTTGCTCTGCCTTTGGGGCTTGGTCACTGCGTGGTTCCAGTGTCTGGCATGTTTTACCCACCGGGGTGCTTGCCTGGAACGTGGGTGACTGAGGCTGGGGGTGGAAGGAAGAGGCCCTGTTCTTCTGTGGAACTGAGTCCACTCCCTTCAAATAGAGTCTGTGTCAGTGTCAAGTCTGCAGGTGTGGACAAGGGACAGAAGTCACCCCACTCCTTCCTACTCGGGTGGGGTATCTCTTCAATTTCTGGCCTCAGCCTACTATATCCACAATTTTCTCTGGGCATTTGGACATTCGTGGGTCCCTTCTTTCCTATGGCAAGAAGTGCTAGTTGTGAAAACCACCCATGGTGCTCTCTGACCCGGGCTGTAACTTGGCCTGAACCCAAATCTTCTCTGAGCTCATGTTCACATCGGGTACTCCTCTGGACCACACACTCCCCTCCCCCAACCCTGTTGTAAGCTCCACTTGGCAGGGTCTTGTTCAGTGCTGGGTTCCCTCAAGCCAAGGCCTGACATTGATACTTGCTGAATGAATGAAGGTGTGAAAGGTCCCACCATGCATCTCTGTGTGTGTACGTGTGTGTGTGTGTGTGTGTGAGAGAGAGAGAGAGAGAGAGAGAGATGGTGTGACCTAGGCTAGCCACCAGGAAGTCTTTTCCTCTTGTTAAAATTTGTTTCTAGCTCTCTTGATGGTTCTAGAACGTCTCATTTTGGTTCAGCTTTGGCCGTGCTTCAGGCTTTTTCTAGATCTTTCTGGGATAGCTTGAGGCACCTTCATGGGCAAACTCCACAGTCCTGCTCCCCCAGGCCTTCCTGGAGCACTTGTAGAGTGGCCAGCTTGTCCCATTTTGCCAGGGACTTTCCTGGTTCAGCCCTGAAAGACCCACATCCTGAAAAACCCCTCAGTCTGGGACGAACCCAGACAGATGTTCACCCCGAGTGGTGTCTCCTCAGGTCCACAACCTGCAGGAGCTCCGGCGAAGTGCCTCACTAGCCACCAAGGTCTTCATCCAGAGAGACTACAGCGATGGGACCATCTGTCAGTTCCAGACCAAATTCCCCCCAGAGCTGGACAGCCGGGTAAGGACGTCTCTTTCTAAGCCTGGAACACAGGCCATGATGGAACTGAGGGGCTTATTCGAATGTATTTTTTTTCCAGGATAGATGTGAATTGGACACATAACTTGTTCAGCCACCTCACATGGAAGAATAAAAAAACGTCTTTAACATTGTCATGTTGTCTCCTCCTAGAAAGTTAGAGCTGAAGAAACCTCAGGAATTTTCTAGTCCAGCAGCTCTCAAATTTCTGAGAGCTTGTTAAACATAAATTGCTCAGTCCTATTGGAAGATACGCGTCATCAGACACGCTGGCTCAGTTGTCGGACTGGGTTCAGCAATCTCCCCTTTTTAGCAGGTCTCAACCCTGGCTGCACATTGGAATTTCCGGGGGAAATTAAAAAAATCCTGATGCCCAGGCCACACCCCTAGACCAGTTAAATCAGTCTCTGGGAGGGGGGCCCAGGCATCAGCGTTGCTTTAAATTTCCCCAGGTGGTTCCAATGTGCAGCCAGGGTTGAGGGTCTTAATTTTTAATGAGGAATCCCCAGGTGACGCAGAATCGGGTGATTCATAGATCCCGCTCTGGGACTCGCTGGTCTTCTAGTACAGTGCTTCTCACACTTGGCTGCACGTTAGAATCACCCAGGAACTTTTGGGAAAAACCGTGCAGGGTAGCAGCTTGGGTAGAGCACGGCAGTGGCCGTCTTTGCTGCTCTGACCCATCCTCCCCCTTCCCAAACCAGCATCTCTTGGAGGAGAGACTTGGGCATGTCTAAATTTTAAGAGCTGCCCAGGTGACTTTAGCGTGCCCCAGGATTGAGAACCACTAAGCCCTTGACCTAAAACTGTGGTCTGTGGACTGGCAAGATCAGCGTGCCCTGGAAGTGCAGAATCTCGGGCCCCCCTGGATCTACTGAGCCAGCATCTGCATTGTAAAGAGATCCTGAAGTTATTCACCTAGGCGTCAAAGTTTGAGGAACACTGCGCTAGTTCATCCCTCTCATTGAAGAGGGGAAACGCAGGGCCAGGAAGAGGAAGTGACCTACCAAAGTGAGTGAGGACCAGAAGGGCCTTAGTCCTGACTCTGCTTTTTCACAAGACTCATATTTTCCTACCGATGCAGTTGCATCCTTAGTGGGTACAGATAACTCTGGATGCCTTCATGATCAGAGTCTGGGCAGGGAAAGCTTAGAGACCTGGAGGAAGCGCTGAGGCTGCTTTTCCCTCCTTCTCCCCGCCTCAGGCAGAGGGGAGAGCCAAGGAGAGTCTGCTACATCGCGGAGTCTGCTGGTGGCTTCAGAGGCTGTCAGCCAAGGGCTCTGCCCACGGCCTCTCCCTCCCCCAGCTACTTGGGTGTCTCATGGACCACCGGCTCCTTGCAAGGCACCAGCACCATCTGCTGAGTTTTGCTCCTGGTTCTGGGAGTATATGAAGCCCTCACCCAAGGCTGCCTTAGAACTGGCCTGGGATTGGGGGAGGGCAGAGGACAGACCACGATCCTTCCATTCAGCAGCCCAGGCAGATCTGAAGGGGTTTGGGAAGGTGGGGGTGGGGCCAGCTTTTGATGATCTGACTCCTAAGTGGCTTTTGGGGAGCTGTATGGGTCTCCTCATCTTAAAGGACTGTCCTTTGGGGTGGGGTGACCCCTGGGGTACAGCAGCAGGGCTTGGCTCATGGGCCACATGGGCAGAATTTTCTCTATGGGTTCACTCCAGATCTGTGTAGGGACAGTGGCCAAAAAACCCAAAGCTCCTGATTATTCTTGGGAAGAGCTTCTATCCTAGGCAGTGAGGGAGGTCCTTAACCTGTGTGATGGACAGTTCTGGTCCTGTGGGGGTGAGTGGGGAAGGGGTGCTCTGAAGAATGTAAAATATGGGGCAAGAAACACCCAGACAATTGCGGAGTTTAGAGCTCGACCTTCTAGGCTGTCTGTTGTAGGGATCCATGGTGCAGAGCACAGACTTGGTCAGAGCTGTGTGACCTTGGACATGTCCACTCAGCATTCAGCAAGTATTTATTGAGCACCTACTCTGTATCAGGCCTGGGGATATAGGAGTGAACCCATGGAGTTTCCTGTCTATTGGGGGTACAAAAAATAAAACAACAAACAAGTAAATATATAGTAGCTCAGGTGATGACAAATACTAGAAAAATAAGGGGGGAGGTCATCAAGGGGATAGGGAGAGCTGGGTAAGGTGAACGGTCGGGGCGTGCCCGTCTAATAAGGTGAGACCTGAGGGAAGTAAGGGATGATCCGGCACAGGGGGTGTCTGGGGGAAGGCACTGCAGCCGAGGACACAGGCACAAAGGACCTGTGGCATTTTCAGGAAGCAGCAGGTGGTCAGTGTGGCTAGAATGGGGGCTAAGTGAGGGAGAAGGTAGGAGATGGGCTCAGAGGGGTTGCAGGGCCAGGCCCTGTAGTGTGTAGTGGGCATTGCAAGAACTCTTGGATCTTCCTTGGTGAGAGATGGGACAACACGGGCAGCTCTTGATCTAAGCTGTGACATGATCTGAATTTAACAGGCTCACTTGGTGGGGCTGGAGGCAGGGAGACCAGTTAAAAGGCCAGAGATGATGGTGGCCTGGACCACAGAGCAGAGATTTGATCGATCCTCACTTGCAAAATGGGGATGGCAGTCATACTTCTCTGATAGAATTGTCATGAGGGGGGCTGGCCCCATGTTCTAGTGGTTAAGTTTGGCATGCCCCACATCAGCGGCTTGGGTTTGGTTCCTGGGCATGGCCTGACACCACTTGTTGGTGGTCATGCTGTGGTAGTGACCCACATACAAAATAGAGGAAGACTGGCACAGATGTTAGCTTGGGGCGAATCTTCCTCAGCAAAAAGAGAGAGAAAAAAAGAATTGTCATGAGTATTAAATGAAAGAATACACAAAAAATACCTGGTACATAGAAAGTGCTTAATAAATATTAGCTATTATGAATATGGATGCAGGCAGGACAGCTCCTACTTGTCCAAACACACGGGGCTATGGTGTTCCAGATGACCTCTGAGCTAGGAGGAAGTGCCCTCTCCTGGAGAGATGCTCTTGAGGTCTCACCCAGTCAGTCCCATGCAGTTGGAGTTCCATCCAAACAGGGAGAGCCCCTCCTATCAGGTTCTGAGCTCTCTCACAGCCATCAAAATGGGGGATGGGGGTGGGAGGGTGACAAAGTCACTGGAATTCCTGCCTGATCCACTGCAGAAAACATTCACATCCAGGATGTCAAGGGAGTTTCCCGTTTCCAAGGGAGGCCAAGTAACCATTCTTATTCCCATTTTATAGATGTGGAAACTGAGGTTATAGTAGTTAAGTCGTTAGTCCAGGGTCACACTAGTTGACAGCCATGTCTGGACTGGACCCCATGTCTCCTGATTCCCAGTTCAGTCCTCTTTCTGCTCCACGGGAACCTGCAGCCTCTCTGGTCATGCTGGTATGCCCCCATCCCCACTGGTGTGGCCCCACCACTGCCACCCTCCCTCCCACCTGTGACTGTCCACAATCTCGGGAGGCTGAACTGGGCCCGGCTCTCTGTCCATCTCTCCCTCCAGATTGAGCGGCAGCTCTTCGAGGAGACTGTGAAGACCCTCAACAGCTTCTACGCAGAGGCCGAGAAGATTGGGGGCAGCTCCTACCTTGAGGGGTGTCTGGCCTGTGCCACGGCCTACTTCATCTTCCTCTGCATGGAGACCCACTACGAGAAGGTGGCTCCCTCCCCGACTGCCCTGCGTCCCCTCCCCCGGGGCTCCCATGCTTCACCCTCATCCTCAACCGGCCCCTCTCCTTGCAGGTTCTCAAGAAGATCTCCCGCTACATCCAGGAGCAGAATGAGAAGATCTTTGCTCCTCGAGGCCTCCTTCTTACGGACCCTGTGGAGCGTGGGATGAGGGTTGTATCCTTCCTGGCTGGTCTGTGCAAGGGCACACAGCTGCCGACCAGTGGGGTCCCCGGGGAGGCAGCCAGGAAATGGGGTCACCCTAGGGGCCTCTGCTCAGGGATTTCCTAGGATTTCCCACATCCCTGGTCACCAGCAAGTTACTGGTGCTGTTTGTGAATTTAGGGTCTGCTTGTACTGAGCTGCACTTAAGCTGTTCTCAGTGCACGCCGGATCTCAAAGCAAGGGCTTTGAAACCATGAATTCGTGTAGATCTCATAACCCCCATCAGGTGGGTCACTTGTATGATTCCCCTTTGTAGATGAGCCCACTGGAGCTAAATCAGGGCTCAGGGTCCCCGGCTGGTGAACATTGGAGCCAGGACTTAACCCTGGGCCCACCCTTAACCACGAGGCTGTGCTGCCCCTCAGGCAGCATGCACATCTCCACATATGTTTACAGGCCCCCAATCTCGTGTCATCCTCCTCTAATGCTGTGTGGTAGAGCTCACTGCCCCCCTTTCACAGATGGGAAAAACGAGGTCTTGAGGGGAGGGTTGTAGGTTTGCTTAACCCACCGGGAAACATGTGGTCAAGGTGTGCACCTTCCTGACCACGGTCAGCAGCAGTGAGAGTAGGATTGTTGATAAATAACTTTTACTGGAAAACTGACGGAGAAAAGAGGAAAGAAAACACAGATACCAGCATCTCGTGTTTATAAAGCCTGGTGGTGGTGATCCCCTTTACTGAGCCTTCACTGCGTGCCAGGCCTTGTGCTTGGTGCCTCTCATTCTCACAGCAACCCCAAGATTCCACTATTATCCTCACTGACAGACGTGATAAGTGATGGGTTAAGTGACTGGTCCAAGGGCATATAGCTCAAGTGTGGGCAAGTTGACATTTGAACTCAGGACACCAGAGTCCTCACACTTTCTGTGCAGTGACACCAGCTCCTGGGCACATCCGAGTCCTGGGATATGGCCATTAGACCCACTGAAGTGTAAGCTCCTGATCCTGGCTGTGCACCCACTGCAGTGTCCGGCCCTACAAGTCTCCGGAAGTGTGAACTGTGTGAGTGCATGCGCGTAAAGGACTGGGGGTCCAGCTCCCCAGGCCTCCACATCCTCACTGTTGAGGAAGCCGCACCAGCTTCGCCGCATGCTCCCCAGGCCTCCACATCCTCACTGTTGAGGAAGCCGCACCAGCTTCGCCGCATGCTCCCCTGCTGGCCTCCATCAGCTGGTTCCCGTCCGCCCCTGCTTGGCAGCTCGCAGCCCTCCTTAACGCCACTCCAGATCGAGATCTCCATCTACGAGGACCGGTGCAGCAGCGGCAGCTCCAGCAGTGGCAGCAGCAGTGGCAGTGGCAGCAGCAGTGGTGGGGGTGGTGGGGCGGGGGCCCGGTGACTGGCCGAGAGTCCCTGCAGGGAGGTGTACAGCCGGACTGAGGGTCTTGCAGACCTGCGGCGGCTACGCTACCAGAGCACCCGCTTCTGAGTCATTCTCTGGGCCCGCCTGCTGCTGGGGGCGGGAGGGAGGGTAACTAGCCCAGTGTTCCTGCAGGCCATCAACTGGCACCTCCTGCTCCTCGCCCCCTGGCAGGATGGCACCCTTCCTGGCCTTGCTCTTTCCTGACGGGGCTGGTCTGGGTTACATGGTGCCAGATATTCTGAGGGGAGGCTTGGGGTGAGGACAACGCAATTTGGTTTTCTTCTGCAGCTCTTCTCCCAACACCCTGGAGTTGGGCCCAGGTCTATCACATAGAGAATTCCCATCCTGCATGATTCCTCAACCCAAATCCCACATTCCCCAGGACTGTCCCCTTGGGCCCCTGATCCTCATGGCCGTCTCCCAGTGTCTGCTCTTCCTGATGCCACCACAGGACCTCTACCTATCCATGATCCTGCCTCCGAGGAATTCGAGGTCTGGGGAGATGGGAGTGGTCAACTTACGGGCGCCGCGGTGGGGAGCTGTTCAGCCCCCTTCTGACCTCTTCTAGACTGTGGCTTTCCTGTCCTCCATCCAAAGCCTGGAGGCCATCTTGGCCTCGCCAGAAAGTGTCCAACTCCTGAGACTTTGCAGGTCACCAGGCACTGGCAGTGGGGCACACAGCCTGCGGCTCTGGAAGGTTATACAGGGGTCTGGAGAAATGCTCGTAGGGAGATGTAGCCTTGAGGGGTTTGAACCTCCAGAACTGGATCCAACTTCCTGAGATTAGAACCCGCGTGTGTCTGAGAATGTGTGTGTGCAAAGGCAGGCACGTGTGCAAGCACACATATAGGAGCACACTATGTGCATGAGTGCATGTGTGTATATGTAGGGGTGTGTGTGCAGGTGTGTGCATGAGTGCACGTGTGAATGCAGTGTGTGAGTGCAGGTGTGCATACGTGTGAGTGCAGGTGTGAGTGAGAGTGCACGTGTACGTTCCTTTGGCTGCTAGGCCGATGACCACCCCTCTCTGCAGCTGGTCTTATTTTCCTACGTGATGATCTGTGGCTCCTCCTCTGCGTGAGTCCAGCCTGATCGCCCTGTAAATAAATGTCCTAATGCCCTTCGCCCCTTGCCTGGGGCTGCCATCTTGAATCTTCTTCCTGGCCTCTCCCCGACCTGCAAGGTTCTCCCCTCCTGAGTTGACTGTGTACATTCTAGCAAAAGAGAAGCTGGAGTTCTAGAAGAGCAGAGCCAACCATCCAGGGCCTTCCGTGCCCCTCCCCCAGCTCCCCATGACAAGGCATTGGGACCACGGACCCACGTATTCAGCTGCCCAGGCTCTAGGCTCTTCAGGGCTGTGTAAGCGAGGCTTCCTTGGATGTTCAAAGGCACCAGCAACCTGCAGGGGAGAAGCAAGCTCCCTTCTTGAAAGGAAAGAGGGGCGTCCAGCCAAGGAGGCCCTGGCTGCTGAGGCCCAGGCAGGCCAGTGAGAACGAAGGAGCTCTGTTCTGGTGCCTGGGAGACAGACAGAAGGAAGCTGCCTGCCTCAGCCGGCAGGAGGTGCTAGAGGTGGCTATGAAAGACTAGCAGCTGCGGGTAGCTTTCTGGAACCAAAGAGGGGCCGGATTTTCTTTTGGACACTGGAGCAGCATGTGGGAAGGAAGCATCTCCCCAGAGAGCTAGAGTGAGCGGCCTAGCCCTTGAGCCCAAGTGGGTCCTGGTCCAAGGATCCCTCTGGAGAGCTGCAGCCTAGTGGGCTCCACCACAGCCCCTGACCCTGGACCCGGCCCGTGCCCACCCTGGCCCACTGTGTGGCTGGGCCTTGTGCCTGAGCTGTGCCTGTCCCGTGGGTTGGCTGGGCACAAGCGATGTGGTCGCCTTTTGTTTTATTATTTCTTTTTCCAATAAAAGGACTTTCCCAGCTTGAGGCTCTATGCTGCGTCTCTCCCCGATGTTGACGGGGGGCTACATCTATGCCCCAGGATCACAGTGAGGGCATGCTCGGCTGCCCACCCGCCTCATGCCGAGGAGGAGGGGCCGAGTGTGTCCCTGAAGAGGTGGCGTCCTGACACGGGCAGGAGGGACCCTGTCCTCTTGGAGCCCATAGTCTGGTGGGGACACTCTGGATCCTCTAATCTGGGGCCTTACTGGGGCACCTGCAGCCTTGGGTAGGAAACAGGTTGGACTTAAAGCCAGGTCAAAAGTAAGTAATGAATTAATTAGCTAAATACCCATTTCTTGAGCTCTTACCCTGGGTTGGGCCCTGTTAGGGGTTGGATCACCCAGGTCACTCAGTTCTAAACTCTAGAAAGGTATGTGGCTGTTGGAATCTAGCAGAGTTGTCTTGGATTTTATAAAACTAAATAGCATTTATTGGGCGCCTACTGTGTGCCAGATGCTTTGCTAAAACCATATGCTAGAGCTGGGAGGGGATTTAAAGATCATCTAAGTGAGGCCAAATGGAGGCTCAAAAATGTTGAACGACTCGCCCCAGGTCACACAGCTGGTTGATGATAGTGCAAAGCTGAGAACAAGGTCTTCTGACGCAGTGTTCACTCTGACACCATAGGGATGGTGTCCAGATGGAAGTTGCCTGAGGCTGCAGGGCAGCTAGAGTCGCACACATCTGTGGGCCAAGAGAGGATGTCACCAGGCTGTGGCGACAATGGCCTCAGTCTCTGGGTGGTGGCTTGAGGGTCCCCTCTGGGCGGTGCTGGGGTGGGACTCTAGGTAGCTTTCACGTTTGTAGTTACTGCTCCTAAGGGGCCGCTGGGCCTGGCCTGAGCTGTGGGGCAGGCGAGATTTGCTGCCTCTGCTCAGACCCGGGTGCGTATGGGTTCTCACAGTGGAGGCTGTCCTTTCACATGTGAGCAGGCTCATTCTATTCTGTTTGCAACGTTATTATTAGTAGTAGCAATAACTAAATAATAGTAGTTTATATTTATTTATTTAGCACTTCCTCGCCTCAGACTACTGAATTTGCCATTTGGTCCTCACAACAATATTCTAGGGTGTGGACTGTTCTTCCCATTTTATGTATGAGGAGACTGAGGCTCATGGAAGTTAAGTAGCTTGCCCAAAGTTACACAGCTAGGAAATGGCAGAGCTTGGCTTTGAATCTAGGCAGGCTCACTGCACACTGTGGGGAAGACAGTAGATCCAGCTTCAGACACCCCTCAGCAGCTTGAGGTCCTCAGCCATCCTAGGGTTGGAATTTGGCAGAGTCCCCGGGAAGGATCTGGAGCTGTGCCTGGACTCCAGGGGAGGGCTGGTACCTCCAAGCCCAGGACATCATGGGAGTGTGGGTGGGCTGTGCTCCCCATGGGCTGTGGGGCCCACAGAGCCAGCGTGGTGAAGGGCGGTCCCGGAGAAGCAGGGCTAGGCTTTCCTCTGCTGGCTCAGTTACGGGGGAACTCTCTCTGTGTCCTGTCGCAGCCATGTCCCTGCATCCCCCTTGCCAGCCAAGGACAGGCCTCATCAGGCCCAGGGAACAGAGGAGCCTGCAGGCAGCTCTGGGCTGCCCCTCTCCCCTCACTGCCGCCAGACTCCGCACCTGGCTTCCTGCAGCCAAAGGCAGGGGGGTGTGAAAACCACAGGGTTTACAGGAGCTCGCGGTGCCTCCGAGCGGTGGAATCGTGCACTGCACCCCGGAATCAAAGCGGCCTGGGCCAGAGCTACTCAGCTGCTGGGAAACTTCCCCACGACCCTAAAACCACCAGCCACTCACACCTGCAAGGACTCTTATGTGGCTTCTAGAGGCGTGAGGCAGAGATGGAGTCCTGTTGGTGGTGGCTCTTTCTCCCTGCAGCCAGCCCCTGGGGTGCTGCCTTTCTCCTAGGGGCTCTCGGCAGCCTGGGAAACCCCACCTCCCTTCTCCACAGCTCCAGAAGGACTTACAGCGAGGTGGGTCCCTGGCAGGAGGCACCCACACCTGGTTTTGGCTTTACTATTCACCAAGGATGAAGGCAATGCAACTACCACTCCAAGTCAGACTTGACTTGGAGCTCAGGCTTTAGGACAGGGGCACGTGGTGGACTCCCACAGCCTCAGTCTCCCCAGCTGTAAGCAGGGACACTAACACTTTACAGCATGTTTAGACCAGTGCTTCTCCTCCTTGGCTGCAATCAATGCCACCTGAGGAGCAAGAAAGGCCACCGATGTCTGGTCCTATCCTCAGAGATTCTTTTTCTTTTAAACCTATTATTTTTTCTTTTAAGATTGGCTCTCGAGCTAACAACTGTTGCCAATCTTTTTTTTTTTCTGCTTTTTCTCCCCAAATCCCCCCTGTACATAGTTGTATATTTTAGTTGTGGGTCCTTCTAATTGTGGCATGTGGGATGCCACCCCAGCATGGCCTGATGAGCAGTGCCATGTCGGTGCCCAGGATTCGAACCAGCGAAACTCTGGGCCGCCAAAGGAGAGCGCGCAGACTTAACCACTCAGGCACGGGGCTAGCCCCCCCAGAGATTCTGATTTCATTGCTCTGGCGTGCAGCCTGGGCATCAGGATTTTTGAAAATTCCTCTGGAGGTTCTAGTGTGAAGTCAGGGTTGAGAATCCCCGGTTTTGATAGTACCTGAGACCTCAGGAAAAATGTTTATTGGCTCCAAGAAAGCAGCCAGGTACAAAACGAGTACAAACTCTACAATTCCACTTAAATTCTAATACAGGCAAAACTAATTTACGGTGATAGAAGTCAGGACAGCGGCTGCCCTGGGATGGGGGGTGGAGGATGGAAAGGGGTCTGGGGGACTTCTGGGTGTGAGCAGAGCGCTGGTTACATGGGTGTGCTCACTTTGTGAGAATTCGTTGAGTTGTACACTTAAGATTTGCATATTTTTCTATATGTACGATATATTTCAATAAAACTTGCCAAAAAGGTTTATTGGCTCTAAAATTGGAAAAGAAAGCACAGAACTGAAATTAATGTTTTAATTACATAGCTACAAAACATAACATTATGTCAACCAGTCAAAGAGAGTTCAATTGAACTCGTGTGTGCGTGTGTGTGTGTAATTTAGTGTGGGTTGTGGATATATACAAAAATGTTTGATATGACGAGGGGTGGGGCCTCCAAAAGAGAAGGTCCCGGGTACCTAAGAAAATCTTAAAACAGACCAGGTTTATACCAGGAGCTCTTAACCTTGACCCACCGCCCCCGCACTTATCTGCAAAATGATGTACTTTTATCTGGGGATGAGAATCCACAGCTTTCAGCAGATTCTCAAGGGGGTATGTGACCCCCCAAAAGGTTGAGAACAGCTGGTTTTGAGGCGTCAGTAAGAAACTGGCTGTGAATGTGCCTGGCATGAAATAGGTGTTTGGTAATGTCAGTTTCTTTCTTTCCTCTCAGAGTCCAGCCTTTCGAGATTTCCACATGACCCTCCTCAGGCGACTTTGGGAGCATTTATTCTCCTAGCAGCGCCCAGGGCAGACGGTACCGAGCTCACAGCTCTTCTAAGAGGCCATTTAAAGGGTCTGTCATTTCAGCATCTGCTGGATGGCAGGACTTAGTGTGCAGCATCCTGGAGCAGCCCCGGGAAGTGCGGTTTCAAATCAGGGATGATGGAGGAGGTGGAAGAGCATGAAGGGGTCTGAGGGCTGCTCCAGTCTGCAGACCCCTGTAATTCACTTTACTATCCTGAGTCTCAGTTTTGTCATTTGCAAAATGAGAGCATTATGAGAATGCATCTTTGTAAATGATAATCTGTTTCTCCAATGCAAGATATTGTTATTGCTGACGTTACACTCAGACCTCATTATACGGTGGCCTCATGATTCAGATTTATAGCACGGTTTCAGATTCTTGCCTAGAATAAACAGATATTTATCCAAGGGTTCACTGATTCCCTAATATATGCCAGGAACATTCATATACATTATTATTCCATTTAGTTCTCTAACACTCTGGTGGATGGTTATATTTGAATTCTTGTTTTTTAGATGAAGAAACTGATGTTCCAGGGGATTAGGTGGCTTGACAAGCACCACAGCTAGTAAGTGTCAGAGCAAAGACTTGAACCCAAGTGTCCGATGCCAAATCCTGCTCTCGTTCTGTCCTTGTGTCACGGTCAGATGAAAGACTCCATTCTACCTGGATCGACTCATAAAGACAGATTCCAGACCCAGAGAGGAGCACGTGGGCAAATGCAGACGGAGAAAAATTAGCTTTGCAGGGGCATGAAGGGGCTAGTTATTTTGGAGTAATTCAAGTTATCGATGTCTGTAATGGAAAAGTGATTGGGGACCAGCTACCACCTGAGAGCAGTGTAGAGCAAGACCCCGGAAGGGGAAAATGTTACACGTGGCTCACAAGACCTCATGCACGGGATGGCCTTCTTCCCTCTGTCCCAGTTCCTCGGTGAACTCTGGGGGGCTAGGGATCTTGTCTTCATTTCCACCACTTCCCTCCCCTGTCCCAAGTGCCTGTCACAGTGTTTGGCCCTCAGCAGGGGAACAGGAAATGCAGCCCATCACAGGCAGGCAGGAAGAGACAGCAATATACAGATGGGAAATCCTCAGGCCCCTGGGCAACTTGCCGCTGAGATGCAGTTTAGACAGCCGTAGACAGGTAAGCGGTTCCTGAAAAGCTCAAAGGGCAGAGGCAGTGACCCCAGGCCATACCCCGCCCTGGGCGGTGGCTTTCAGTAACGCTGCTCTGGCTGTGATCCTGTGGCTCTGCTCATGATCTCTATCTGTCCTGGGAGGGGAGGGAAGGAAGCATCCATCCCAATCCCACTCAGGCCCTGCCCAATGCTCTCTGAACACCATTATTTTCAGGGTAAATCCTTGTGAGGCTGAGCACTTTGCCTGGAAAGTCTGGGACTGGGGCCCTAGAGAGTGAAGTACTATGGGTAGATGGATGGATGGATGGATAAGTGGATGGATGCAGAGAAGATGGGCACAGGGAGATGACTGATGGATCAGAGGTGA